AAAAAAAAAAAAAAAAAAAAAATATCTAAAAGGGTTCTTGTGATTATCTTTAGTAAAGCTGGACCCACCACCTGAGTGTCTTGAACCTGAGATTGTTTCCTCTTTTCTTGCTCTTCCTCCTGCTTCTTCTTCTTCTCCTCTTTCTCTTTTTTCTTTGCATCTTTCAGCTTCTTTTTAATTTCAAACCTTTAAAACAAACAGATTTAGTCAAAAAAAATGTTAAGTACCAAAACAAATGTTTATAAGACTTTAATTGCAAAGAATATTCATGTGATTGTTCCCATAAAATGTAAACCTCAAAGCTAATTGTTAGCATATCTTTAAAGAGAAACAGTGGCACCACCTAAAATCAAATTGCTCTGGATTATTTGGAACATTGAAAGAGACTGAATGTTAGCACTTACCGTCTTCTTAGCACCTCTCTCTTCTCAATTCTGTTGAACAGCTCTTGCTCCCTCTCCTTCTCAGTCATCTGTTCCAGACGCGCTCTGTCCTCAGCATCACCCATCAAGTCGTCATCATAACCGTCTTTAAACACCTCATCCTCTGAGGAGTCAGAGTCTGAGCTAGACGACGAGCTGTTACTTTCTGAATCTGAGACCTCTCCTAAAAAAAAAAGAAAAGAAATCTAAAGGAACCCATACATTTATTTTTTATGTGGTAATTTTTCACCTTTTTGGTTCAGCCGAGGCACAAACAAAAAAACATTTTACATACAATAAATGTTAGACAAAGTGCGTTCATTTGATGTTTGCTTTATTTTCATGGAAAACCCTCAGACTGTCATTAATACCAGAAAAATGCCTTCTAAGGTTGTTTTTTTTAAGATCCAATTTGTGCAATTTACTTGAAATTTATCAAGCATTAATAAAATACTTCACTATATTTTTTCTATACAATTTACAGAAAACCAACTTAAAATATAAAGATTTAAAGATTAAATGGTATTTCCTGGTATGTTTTCTTCCATCTGAATAAAAAAAACATCATCCATTTTCTCGATTATCGAACACACCACACCAAAGCACTACCAGATCACATTAAGACTACATTGTGGAATATGGTTTAATATATTAAGCTTCTATAGAAAGCAAAACAAACTACTCTCCTACATAGGCTTTTTAATCGGGAGCAAACTTCTAAAACAGCGTATTTATGTAGATAGCAGGGAGCTAACTAGCTTACTGTATATTTCTTTTATTCTCCTTTTAAAAAATATTCAAATTTGTCACAGAAAAAAAACAGATCAGGAGGTGTCAGAAGACTAGGGAGCTCATTGTTTAGGTGAAGAGCTGCTACCTTTCTTAAGTGTATAAACAAGAACTGGTGTTTGAAGTTGGTACTCCAACAATGCTAATTGTGCTAATATGAGATGCTAAAGAAATGTAAATGACAACCATCTTAATGATCAGTCATATCAAACAAGGCTGCTTAGGTCCTGTATAATTACAGTAAATAAATTAAGCTATTAATTGAATGCTAAACAGAATGTATTTTTGTCAAACAGATCGTATGGGGAAAAAAGGACTATCTTGTCTTATCACACTCAACAGCCATATGAGAAACGGCTAATCTCTGTTGTTTTCTTTGTAGTTAGTTAATGATACAGTGATTTCATTTGTTCTATTTTAAAGAAGCATGGAGAAAGTGTTTTATTATCGACATAGTTCCTGATGAGAAATCACAACCAGATAAAACAGGTTTGGCAACGTGTTAAAATTGATATTGATAAGTGATATTCGTTGCACCTCTAGTGTGAATCGAGTTTTGTTTTTGTGCGAGACAAAAAACAAAGACGAATTAACATTATCCTGAAGAGATATGTCCTTGTGCCACCAGGGATAAAGGAGATGGAAGAGTGAGTCATGTAATCCCAGCCAGTTGCCATACCAGGTTCATATATAATCTAGACTTCACTCTACAGAAACCTACCTACACTGAAACCTCAGTAGTTGACCAAATAAAAGGTCAAAATTCAATAGATGCACTTTTCTTTTTTTACTTTAAGTCCCTCCTTTGTAAGGAGATCTGGGATCTTACCCTCCTCTGGAGCAGAGCTGTCCGCTGAGGTGTCGCCATCAGAGCTGCCAGATGCCGTCGCCTTGTTAACTTTCTTTTTTGAAGCGCTCTTCTTTTCAGAACCCTTCCCCGGCTTAACCTTCTTCTTGCCCTTGGTGCCACCAACGGTCCACTGAAATAAACACAAAGACACATTTTCTCTCTTATTTACCATTTCCCAACTCAAAAAGACAGAATCCCAATCCACTCAGTTGAGCTCAATCTTACCTCATCGTCGCTGTCGGATGTCTCAGAGTCTGTGGAGGCTGCTGGTTTGTTCACAGTTTCATCCTGCTCGCCCGAATCAACCCTCTTACCCTTGGCAAGGGACAACAACTCCTGAAGCGAAAAAAACAAAGCAATGGATCTTAGAATCAAATGAGCATTATAAGCTTGCCTTTAATAGCTCTTCTTTTATAGAATAAAACAAGCACAAAAAGCTTAATCTGTAAATTATCAATGCTGTTAGCCTTCCCACTGCTAACGAGACATAGCTCACCAGCTGTAATCAGGGAAGATACTTGAGTATGATGGACGCGTGACTGAGGTATTGTGTGGAGCTATTCTACATCTCAAACAGCTGGACCAAAATCTGATCACTCAGAAACTTTCTCTGGAATATCAAAAGTGGACTTTGAACCAAAGGTACCGTTAAGGATTTTGCAGCTTTGAAATCAGTGCTTTTGAACAAGTATACAATGATGCCACCACATCGAACGACGGGGCAGAAATGTATCTATAACAACAAAAATATCTATCAATTATTCTTTGTTAGTTGGAGGTAAATAAATGTGAAATGGTTTCTTCTACAGGTTAACCCCATATATATGGGGACGTCACTACATCAACATGAATGAATACACTGTGAGCATTTTAAAAAGCATTTATCAATCAAGTCTAATCTTGTTGTACAAAAAATATAATTGAAAACTCGTCAGAAAGCTCAAAGCTTTCTAAACAGGCAGAGTAGCCAACACCAATAGAAAAATTCTGCCTTTTACTGACGGTAGCTGTCAATTATTTATAGATGGTTTGGTCTTATAGAAAACAGCTCAATCTGTTGAGGCATTTCATAATGTAGATAAGTTGGTGCATTAGAATCCAATACATTATCAATTCAGATACTTGAGATAAACTGAAAGGCAGAGAAAAAATTGGACAATGCTAATTGGACAATGGACAATGCTATAATTGGACGAAGATAATTGGACAATGCTAATTTCAACAAAAGTGGCTAGAAAATTATAAAACTTCATGGCTGTCCTGGGTACTTGTTGATGGTATTAAAATTATTTCTAAGAGCATTATATTAGAATTACTCATTCCTGTATAAACCCTGTAATAAAACAGCAACCGACAACTAACAGCAATAGTCAGTAGTAGAGCTGTTTGTACTTCTGTCAATCTGGATCTACTTAGATCTTTCTAATAAATAGACACAGATTATCACAGATCTTGAGAAGATTTTCGTTTAAAAATAAAACGTTCTCGATTTACCTGAAACTTTTCATTGAACTTCCGGGCCAATTTTTTAAAGCCTATATTTTTTTTTTGTCCCCAAAAACACCCCAATTCAAACAAACAAAAAAAAAGCCCTGGTTTCATCCCCATTTTAACAACTTCACCTATGAAAAGGAAGATACACTTTTAGTTATTCAAAAGCAGGATAATATTGGGTGACTGGTCCAACCATTTGACTGAACAAAACAACAATCAGATGTCAGTGAAGTGGGTCAGAAGTTGCACTTTTTTGTACATCCAAATTTCAAAAGTGTTAAAAACGACAGGAAAACGATTTCAGGTTTCTTTGTTACACCTTATTCTTTGAAAGATATTTTTTTACCATTATGTGCGGCTTCTGAAACAGTGACTAGTATTTCTTTTCCATCTTTGGACATATTTTAGTCATTTGTAAAAAGAACACATATGCACTGATATAAGAAGTTTCCAGTTTGCATGCACAGCTATTAGTGTTGTCATTTTAGACTGCCAGCTCTTGTTTATCAACAACACAGAAATAGATCTTCAGATCCCAGCCCATGACGTCATTAAGCAGATACTGTTTAAGCTAAACCAAACTAGGCTTCTTAGCAGCTTTAATTTTAATGCTTTTTCCCCTCTATTATTCTTTAAACACACTAACAACCGTTCCATCAGCCCACAGACACATAGCTAAAGACTGGAAATCATTAGAAGGTGTATGGCGCGGTAAATATCACTGCATGATTACCATTAGCATTATGCAACCAATGATTCTCTTAGTGGCATAAGAACAAAAAACTGCTTCATTTTATTAAATACGGTATATACAAAGAATGGTGAAGGTTAACATAAGGTTACGCAGAGTGTAAAAGTAATACAGGCCCAATTTATGGCTCTTATACCGAGGCCAAACACATCGTAAACCGTTAGCATCCGCTAGCTTTATACCAAATTGTTGACTACTTTCAGAGGCCAGCGGAAGAAGCAAAGAGGGGAGAAATGAGCAACCTACCTGATCTAAATTGTCATCGCTACCGCTATCTTCAGAGTCGGAGTCAATTACTCGTTTCCGTTTCTTAACATTCACCATGGTTGACTACGCGGCTAACCTACTAGCTGCGCCTGTGTCGTCTAACCGCTTGAAGTAGCCTCCGATGCTATTTGGCTTCTTGGTTCAAAGGCAAAACTGAGCATGCGCGCGCACGGTTTTACATTAATAAGCTACGATTATAATGTAGAAATGTTGAAATGAAAGCATGATTCTATTTTATTAATTGCTTTTTTTTACATTCTAGTAGCTTGCTTTTGATAGACATAAATGGACACAAAGACACAGAAAAGGGATCGGAACTATAGTTCAGCGAGTGAGTGCTTCAGTCAGGACCAGAATCGCAGATGCATTAGAGCTATGTTCAAGAACCACAAGGCTGCTGTTAAAAAAGCCATGTGACTTTGTCTATAACATTTCTACTGTATATTTGTTGTCATCGAGACATTTTTGAACGTAGCTCTGCTGTTTCTACTCAGATGGTGTTTCCTGTGCACAGACAACCTTGGATTTATTCCGAACTGTTTTGGTAGCATAATTTCATTTACCGGCTCATCTGTTAACCCCTAACAAAACTATTGATGTACCCGGCACCCTGGTTTTAACGGCAGACAGAGTAAGTGGGAGTAAATACATTACAAAATTGGTATTATTATCAAAGGTATACGTTTGAGTACTTCAGCAAACCGCAGTCGTGGTTATATGATTGTTTTAAGACGATGCCTTTATTCAGCTTGAATTTATTGGTGCCATTGTGCAGATTACTTCTTATTTTTGTTTGGGGTGATCAGATGAAATTAGCTGTAAAGATAAATGTACGTATATTACAAAAACGAATTTGTGGTAAGTCTGGGATGAGGCGGGGGTGTTACTCTACTATAACAATTCAGAAGCGAGTAAAGGTGAGTGTTTAATGGACGATCAAGAACTTCAGGTAGTTGTCCTGAAAGGATCATTACCAGGGAAACCTTCAAAGGAAGGTTCAAGTAAGAGTTTATGTTGCCTCCAGTGCAGTGCTTGCTCTGGAATGGCAGCAAGGATGGAGACTATTTGAAAAGTGATAATGAAGCCTTTTCTCCTTATGTTTAAAAAAACAAAACATTAAAGGCTAATTAATAAATTGGTAGGAAGTAGGAGTTGGATAAAATGTCCTTCATGCTGTTTAAAATACTTGGATAAATGACAGCTTGGGAAACTGTATACTGTGTTGACTTATAATCAGACTGAGAAAAGTACAATAAATTGGATTTTGTTGATTGTAAGTGCACTGCCCTAATCACGAGGCCACAGCTCCTCTCGCAGTGGGCTGCCATTGTGTGGCACCAGGGGAGCAATCGGGGGTTAAGGGTCTTGCTCAGGAACCCAGGGTGGAGGCTTGAACCAGGTACTCAGAACCTTCTAAGAGCACAAGCTCACTGCTCTAAACACTAGGCAAATACTCCCCCTTTTACAGTATGTACTCCATTTAAAGATTAATCATTTACTAAATTAGTTGACGATTATTTCAATAATCACGATTAATCTGATTGTTTCCGCCCTAAATATTGCTACAAAAAAGAAAGATATTTATTTAATCCTGTGCTCTAAATGTTAGTTATCAGTGCTTCCTGATAATTTCCCTCTGGAATTATTAAAGAATTTCTTATTCCTGTGATCTATCCTGACAGAGACTCCAGATCACAAATGTCACTGCAGAAAATCTCACGTATCCCTGCCTCCAGCCTGCTGTGCACCGTCCATGACATCCGCTGGCTCCTACGCTCTGTCACGCCCCTTGCTGTGCCCAACAGAGCTCTGGTCCAGAGTGAGTACCGTCGGCCCGGCCAACCCAGAGAGGACAAGCCTCCATGGCAGAAGATAAAGTTTGACCTCTCTAAGGGTCTGGAGGGCGTAAAGAAGCACTTCAAGCTGCTGAGACAGGAGTTTGCTGACCGCTTGGTCGGTCCGGAGGGTAAACCCATCATCGAGCACATGCTGGAGCAGAACAGGGTGATATGGGAGTTCAGAGGCCCTGAGAGCCTTCAGAATTGGACAGTTTCTTCTGACAGGGAGATTGGAGGCCAAAGTGAAATTTATCTAAAGCATGGAAGAAACAACGACACCTGCTTTCTGTACGGGACCCTTTGTTCTGCACCTCCTAGAGATGGAGAAACGCGCTACAGTGGATATTGCACCATGCGCTCCAAGCAACCTCTGGTTCGTGATCAGCCGGGCGCTGCTTCCTACTCTGTTTCTAAAGTCCTTTAATCTCTTCTGGTGCACAAGGCAATGAAGCAAACTGAGGGCTAAAACGTTTCCTGTCTTCTAGGTTTCATTTGATCGGAAAACGCACCATGACTGGTCCAGTTTCAACACCCTCCATATGCGGATTCGGGGTGATGGCCGCCCATGGATGGTCAACATTGCGGCAGAAACCTACTTCTCTCATCAGAAAGACGACATCTACAGCTACTTCCTGTACACCAGAGGAGGGCCATACTGGCAAGATGTAAAGGTAAGGAGGACAGAACAGAATGGGTAGGAAAACTTCAAATAAATCTTTTTTCTCTTAGATTAACAATACTTTTAAAATGAGCTGTGGAAATGGGAAGCATTTTCACATGGAGGGTTTTATGTTAAAAGAATCGGCAGTGCAGATAAAGTGAAACTGAACATCCTACAAAAGAAAAAACTTAAGAGCCTCACGCATTAATATTTAGCACTCTGAACTTCAGTGCTTTTTTAGGATTAATATAAAAATAAAAAGCACCAGTCTTTTAGCTTGATGCATTCTGGATTCCATCTGCAGACTATTTTGACATAATTTATCAAAGGCTATTCGTCATAGTACTTCATTAATGACTTTTGCATTGGGTGGATTTAATGTATTTTTCACCAAACTGGTTTAAATGCCCGCTATTATCTACTACCTAAAATTGCAAAAAGTAGTTAAAGTAGTTAAAGTTTTGAAAAGATTCTTCACGCAGACAGACATGGATTTTATGGAAAAAGACCAGTTCCTAAAGCCGATTTTCATTTGCAGATCCCGTTCTCAAAGTTCTTCCTTACTCATCGAGGGAGAATACAGGATGACCAGCATCCTCTTTGGCTCGATAAGGTACCTCAACTTAAATGTGGCCCAAACCACAGAATGAAATTCACTGACACTCATTCATTACCTCAAGATCTTCCACCATCCAGAGGTCTTCAGATTATTATTAATCTATTCATTCTGTTTACAGATTAATACCATTGGCTTTACTCTTGGAGACAAGGCAGACGGTCCCTTCCAGCTAGAAATCGATTTTATCGGCGTGTGCAAAGACTATGCACACACAGAGGACTTTGCATATGAGGTGTACAAGAGAAACCCGGAAGTTTGAGAACACAACTGATTTTTTTTTTAACCTCTTTTGATTTTATTTTTCTGTAATATAAGTAGTTAAATAAATCTATACATCAGTTCGGGAAAGTGTCGCTTTGTCTCAATTAATAAATGGATTTTGGAGAAAAAACATTTCAGATCAAAAAGACTATTTTTAATTTATTTTTAAAGTCAAAGTAGGAAGGAAACCTGCTGATATGCTATCAGGAGGCAACTGAATAACATCACAGATGGGGAATAATTAGGAATTTTATTATAAAACAGAGCAATAAAAGACCAATTAAGAAATACAGAGACCATATCAAATGTTTTTTCATTAGTCTTTTGAACACCAAATGTCTTTCATTTAAAGTTAATAAAAAACACCAAAACAAAGCAGAAACAAGAGTTAAAGTACCAATATAAACAAGCTGGACAAAAATGCAGCATAAGGTAAAATAAAAAAAATGAAGATATCATTTCTACATCAAAGCAAGCTGGAGAAAATATCATGGCTCTTCTACGTTCCTTTGACAAAATATTTAGACTTAAAGTTTTCCCAGTGAGCATCAGCGGAACCACGCCCTGCCTACATCATCACAAGTCCTCTCCTCGCGCCGAGCATGCTTTCCTTTTTCTGTTTCCGGGTTTCCAGCTGTCTGTTTCTCCGGTCGTCCCTGAACACGACAGAAGATGACTCAGAAGGGCTGTACGAGCTGATCATGTTTAGAGGTTCGTCTGTAGCTTACCTGGAGAGGATTTTGGGCTTTTTGTAGCTCTCTTGCCGAGGATTGGAGACAGACGTGTTTGTTGCTGCGTTTTCCTTCACCTCTCCGAAAGGTTTCAGTTTACCTGCGGAGCGATTCAACCATCAACAACCCCATCTAGCATTAAACCCCCCTGGGAAGCTTCGCATAGCTTAGAACAGTCTTGTTACCTTTATGAGGTTTGTAGCAGAGGGGCCGCGACAGGCTGGCCTTCAGATCAAAGGCTGGTTTCTTTTGGGTTCCAGGAGTTGTTACCGCACTTGTGTTTCCGGTGAAAACAAAAGGTCCTGGGGGGAAAAATAAAACTCGTCTTTACACAAACACTTCTACAATTACAGCTCCTAACATGGACCACCTTATGAAAGTTCAATGTTTTGACACAATAAAACAGAATTGAATATTTCAAGCTTTATTACTTGTTTCTGATTACAACGTGCTTACAGATGATTAAAAAAAAATAATCCAACATTGGGAACTCAAGGTGTTACGCCCTAATAAGTTAAATCAAAGTTCCCTGGTCTGTTAGTTTGAATTATTGCTTCATGTGATTTATTTTTCGGTAAGGACAATATATAATAACCGACCTTATGTAAATAAACCAGACCTCACCTCTGTTGTCCCTAGACAAAACAAAATTCTCCTCTCTACAACCCAACTAAAGTTATCAAACACAAAATGACTAAACTACACAAATGTGTTAATCAATAGAATAAAAAAAAAACAAATAAGGAAACTACATGCAAAAAAAATTATAATTAAAAGTAACTTAACTGTTCATATTGGTGGCAAAAGAACATGGAGAAAAATGGAAAAGCCATATTTATTTTCTGGCAAGAACTGATACCTGCCATCGTATCTAAAGGTACCAGTAGCAGGTTCAGTTACCGTGGTGATACTGAGCCCAATTGGCCAACAAACTATCCTGATCTGACGCTTATTTAAAGATTTATTAAGAGCAAGATGAGCAATAACAGAAGCATCACAGATGACCTGAAGGTGGACTCCCCATCACACCTCAGCATCACTACGGGCTGATCACCTCCATGCAATACCATACTGAAGCTAAAGGCGGCCTAACCAATTAAGGGCGGTTATTTGTAACCTTGGCCTTAGCCATTTAACTGTTCACACCAAGTGTGATGGTCTTGTCTGTATATACTTAATGTATATTTTTTATATATTTTAAAATATTTTTTATACTTTTTCCCCACTGTGGGACAAATAAAGGATTATCTTATCTTATCTTACTCCCGCAGCCGTGTGGCAGTAAACTTGCCGCAGATATTTTTGATTTATGCCTAATTTTTAAACGTGGTCTGCGCTATGTTATTCCTCGCCACAATGCAAGAGGGACAATCAGGAACTAGCTGTGGTTCTAGATACGGCAGAGGCGGTGAGGAAGTGGGGGCAAGTTTGTGCGACAACGAAGGGAAATGAGGGCGAAAAACATCAGGGATCCAGGTGGAAATAGGGTTCCAGTGTTCTCGCGCACCTCACTCTACTAGCTGGTCCAACTTCACGGGTCGTTTTCGGCAATGGCAGTCATACAAACAAAACAAGCCAGTACAGTACCAAACAGGAATCAGAGGCCTCCTGTCTGCGGTCACCTACAGTTTGGAGAGGTGCACCAGAGTGTTGTGGCAGGGGCTGAGGTACATTTGCATAAACTGCGACACACATGCAGACGGCCCTGTTTCTGATTATAAATCAGACTTCAGTCGGTTACAGAAAAAAAACTGTTCAAAAGACAAAACACTTAGATAAAAGAACCTTCTCTTGTTTCCATGTTCTGCAAGCTAGAATCATCACAATGACAACAGATAAAGGCTTAAAATATTGAATCTAAAACATAAAAGAGTTTTACTGTGAAATGAGTGTATAGTGGATCAATGAAGAGGTTGAATTACCTGGAGTCTTCTGGGCAGAGAATCCTGACGTCTTGACCATGGCGGGCTTTCCTGCATCTGCAGCTGTTTTTTTGGGGGTGCTGGAGGTGATGGACAGTGAAATCCGAGCTGGGGTCTTCACCAGGGATCTCTTAAACTCATTATCAAGTGTAGCCTCTGAGAATCTACAGGGATTTTAACAGGGTTCACTGCGGAGCTCTGAGAAATAAGGTAAATGTGAAGATTCCACTGTATTGATTCTAACTGACTCACCGGACATTGATCCTGCGAGTAGAAAGGACAGTAGGTCTGAAAGGAACATAGTCTTTCCCAGCAGGTTTTTTTGAAGGAATTTTACTGGCTACAGGCAAAGTGTGCTGACGCTTTTCTTCAGCGGGCGTCTTCTTGACGGGGCCTGGACTGAACATAGAGGCTTGCTCTGACTTCTTCTATAAAACAGAGAAAAGAAAAAAAAAAGAAAAATAAGCGGAGACTGGGGAGTCTATAGAAAGGCGCTCTGCAGAAGTAGCGCATTTCCATCCTATTACAAAACAAAGTAGATGTTGTGCACTTTTCCATAACATCTTGGATGACGAGTCAGGCTGTTGCATTTGTCTCTAATCAGCAGCTTTTGAAGTTAACTTAAAGCAAAAATAAATGTGCACTTTAGCCAAAAGAGCAATAAGCAATAATGACGGCACAAATAAGGTTGCCATGTAAGAGACACTAGGACGTAGTCCAGCTAAACTAAAGATTCAAGTTGTTCTGCAAATACTTTTAAACGATGCTGAGGCTCAATTCCTTGTTAGTAAAAGGGAGCGCTACCGCAGGTCATTCATCCCTGCTGCTATGAGACTCTACAATGTATGATGTGCAATTATTCTATACCCTGAACAATACTTATATCTATATAAATATCCATCTATATAAATACCCATGTAAACACCCTCTGCAATAACCCAGTATAATAATGCTTCTAAAAAATAATAATAAAAGCTGCCATATGTGGACACACTGCACCTTTACTTCCTTTGGCACCTTCTTCTCCTTTGACTATTGGAGCTGATGTAACGAGAAAATTTCTCCACTGTGAGAACAATAAAGTCCATCAATCAATATTGTTCAGAGTTGTTTGCTTCTCTTGCTAGCTTTCATGTTTGCAGGCTGCTGCAAATACCAAATTTTTTGTTTCGGTAACCCCGGGAACGTTTTTATTACTGGCTCAGAAATCGGGAGGTAAACGAGGTAAACACACTGCACCGGCAGTTTCAGTTTGATGATGATCAATTTCTTACTTATTGGTGAATATTCTCGGTTAAAAAACAAACCACTGGACTTGTTTTCTAAAGTTTGAAGAGGTTTCACTTCCCACCCCAAAAGCTTTCTCAACTGAAAATGTCGAAAGTAGCATTGAGTTTCAGGGTTATAGGGTAGCCCAAACAAAAGCCTTGTTATGGTAATGGCGAATTGTTAGGGTCGTTGTTGGCCTGGCTGACCAGGCGAGATGTTGTGATTCCCTGCATGAGTATGAGGAGTCAGATGATAGCGGCAAGGAATCAACTCTATCGCTGCATTGTAGGTTTTTGAGAACTCATGTTCCAGCTCTTAGCGTTTTATTAACTTTCTCGCTTATTGCACTTTTAACAGAGAAAATTAGGGAATACTCACAAGTCTGGATTTTACTTATCTGGTTATAAAATAAACTAGAAAAAAAATAAATAACCAAAATTATAACAGACCAACATCATCAAATTACCTTCAGGTCCTTCGCTGGAGTTTTGTAGGTCTCTGTCTGCTTTTTCTTCCTCTGAACATAGCTGTCAATGGATTCCATCTTGTTGAATTGGGCCTCATGGAGCTTTTTGAAGTCTGATGAAAAACAAAATGATCAAATTTAAGTAATTGATCTTGAAGAAGTTGTAATTTAAAATGTTGTTTCCTATCGTCTGTCATAAACCAGAGGGGAATGGGGTGAAGAAAAAAACAACTTACTGGGAGTGTTGGGTTTTAACAAAGTCTTGCTTTTCTGCTGTAACCCTTGGTAACGAGGGATCCTGCCACCTTTGGCCATTTTTGGAGCCTTCTCTGTATGTGGAATTTCTATTGATCAAGATATAAAAAAATTAGATGCTAAAAATGGTATAAACACATTTAACTCTGAGAGAAACAGCCATAGTTTGAAATTAAATCTACTGTTACAACTAGACATGAGCTGGTTACCAGGATCAAGTTATAATAATCTAACATCAAAAATATAAATAAAATAGATAAATCAACAGAGTTTAAAAGAAAAAAAAGTGACAGTTTCAGTCAGCTTGGTTAAAAAGAGATATTTTTTATGTTTTTTTGTAAAACAAAAGTCATATTCAGTTGCAGCATGCAGCTGCATGGAGATAAATAGCCAACTTATCAGACTCATTGCACTTATGTCACTGATAAAGCTTAAATGCAAATAATTCTGCACATCAAGTTCTTAATGCAATCATTATTATTTTTATTTTTGGTGAGGTCAGGGCATCAATTTAATGAATAAAGGATTCCATAATAAAAATGTATATTAATCAATGTTAATTTCCTACTGCAATAGAAATACTTGCAACATTCCTCTTTAAAATACAATCTGAGGTATATGTATGCAACTCGGGTCCGCAAAAAGTTTTGTTTTTTAACACACCTAAAGCTTATACCTAATACATATAGGATAAAATACATTGTAAGATGTTTAATTTGTCCTTTACTCAGCCCCACTGACGGACAATGCCTCATTCCGGTCTTTAGGATTTCATCTCTTCAATTAGATTTTTTTTTTGCACATTTTTGTCAAAAATTACTTATCGGACCTGATTCTGCATGCAGGGAGTTTTGCTCGCTGGAGTTAGGTTGCTGCTGGTCTTTATCAGCAGGTTGGGGCTCCAGTGCAGTCACTTCAGAGTCCCTGTCAGGGGACACCTTTCTTTTTTTCTTATCCACTGCACTGGATGGCGGGTTGCATAATTCAGATGGGCCATCAACCTAGAAGAAAAAAAAAAGAAATTTAATATAAGCCCGAGATAACATAATTGTCATTTTAATTTATTGGCTTTTCTAAACTACTAACCTCAGCAGCACCAGAGGATATCTTTCTCTTTGTACAGTTGCCTCTACCCCGCCGGGTATTCACAAACGCAACAGCACTGGCAGCTTCATCATGACCAACAGCATCCTGCAACGCCTGCTCACTCTCTGGAGCTGCAGTTGGAGGATCTTGTACAGTACAGTTGTCTTGTTCCTTTTTTAAAAAATAATGCACAAAACACCCATAAACATGCATTTTCTCTTTCCATGCATTGTTGTAGTTATTCCATTTTGTTGTCTGCCAGGTTACCTGCGCTTTGTTTTGTTGTTCGTAGTGTTGTTTGATGGCTTTCAGGAGTTTATCGGCCTGTTTCGAAAAGAATTAACGTTAAAACGTACTTAGCTCGATATATTGATGGCGCGCATCTTTCGTTAGCATAATAAGTGTGAGTAACCATTCATAAAAACATGTCAAATTACCTTCATATTTGCCTTTAGTCCCAGCTCCTTCGCAAGGCTTCGCAGCTCCGCATACTTCATGGAGTCCAAATCCATGATCATCTGGCAGTTTGGACTTTAATATAGCCTACTTCTTTTTGTTATTGTTGTTGTTTTTGTAGTTTGTATTTTCTTCTTCGTCGTCTTTGAGGAGTTAAATGGCGGTTGGCAAACAGCTTGTTTCGTACTACCTCGGCGCCCGACGGTTAAAATTGCCTCCGATTCAAAGCACAAGTAAACGAGCTGTTCGATTGGCTGTTGTCGTTGACCGGATATGACGCCCAGCCAATCAGAGTCAAGGTAGTTAGATTTTAGTTTGCGGATTAAATTTGCCAAATATGTCGACATATACAACTATTCGACAGTATTTTCATTAGATGTTTTAAATGAAGAATAAATAAATAAATAGATTGTCGTTATTTTAAGCTGAAATCATATTTTGTATCTTACACATTTTCTATTTTAAAGGTTCCTCTGCGGTAGTGTCTATTTTTTATTAAGCTTACCGTATTGTTCTTTAAACATTGTTGTTGCTCTTAACAGCACATACAATACATGTGCTAATACAAAAAAAAGACAACATAACATAACCAAGTGTGCTTTCCCGTACTAGAACATTACATTGTGAAAAATGTAAATAAGACAGTATAAAACCGGGAGGATGTGACGTACTGATTGAAAGAATACACGATTGATTAACTTAATCATATATATATATATATATATATATATATATATATATATATATATATATATATATATATATATATATATATATATATATATATATATATATATATATATATATATAGCATGGGCGTAGGTTTGCATAGGGACCATAGGGACATGTCCCTACCAAAATTCTGAACCGACCTAATTGTCCCTACCAATAATTGGATGTGAGCAACATGTTTATAATTTACAGCAGTAGTTGTTGCAGCAGTGGCTTCTTTTCCTCTCGCAGCTCCTCTGCCTGCTCTCTTCTGTCCCTTTCACGCAGCAGCGCATGGAACTGTGCTGCGCTGTTTAACTCAACTCTCATTGGTTGTTCTGCCTTAGGTTCCGCCTTCTCTCTCTCTGATTGGCTGTTTTCTAGTCCTGGTGTGCTTGGAGCACAAAATTGAAAATTTATTCACACTAGAATGATGCGGTTACTACAATAAATGGCACCAAAACTAGTCTCAGTCTCAGTCTCAGGGGATCCACGTCTACCTGTTCTGGACTAAAGAAGGGGAAAGGTATTTGTCTCACATCAAAACTAGTCCCAATTAAAAAAAATGAATATCATGTACACTAAAAAACAAAAACCTTTTTTTTTCTTTTATAAAGCGAAATATTCTGAGTCAGCCAGGAGTTCTGAAGACACAAAATGGGCAAATAAAGGCTGTAAGCCATCAACATTTCTGATTCTTATCCACAGCCAACTAGAAAAAGAAAAAGTTAGTGTTTCCTTTTTACCAATATTTAGTTGCTATTACTGGTTTAATTTTTTTATGACTCTTTGAGAAAGTTCAGGTATAATTATTAGCAGGTGTTATTTCTCTTATAGAGTACAACAACAAGAAATGGAGCCTAAACATCAGCTGTTTTTCGTTTAAAAAGCACAATTAGGGTTCCACATAATAATAGTTCTATTTTATTGACTATTTATACTTCTAGAAATAGGATAAAGACAAGAACAAAAAAAGGAAGAATATAAACATTGATTTTATCTTACATAGATTTCCACACAGTCTATAAGTAAATTAGTACAAACATTAATGTCTGGTAAAAATGCTGCTGAATCTGGCTGTTTATTTTGGATAATGTTAAATTACAGATAAGATAGTGTTATATTGTCTTTTATAATTGTTAAAAATTATTTTATATTTGAATACACTTAGGCTCATTCTTAGTGTTGTGTTTGTAGATGATGCCACTAAAAATAAAATAGACATACAGTAAGGAGCTATTTAAACAGTCAGACAGTAAGCAATATAGGACAATGATAAAAGGTTGTGTTACATTTAATCCTTTACTATTAAAATTGCACTTATACATTATATGATTATAGGAAACACAGATATCCAGTAATAATGATGCAGGGCAGCTTGTAGGTGAAGCAGCTGCCATTCAGTGCTTCAGGTGATGTCTAAATAAACCAGGTGAAATTAAAGTATTTCCACATGAGGAGTACTGGATGGAGAATATTGACAGACAAAACATTTTTTTTAATCTTATATATTATATATATATATATATATATATATATATATATATATATATATATATATATATATATATATATATATATATATATATATATATATATATATATTGTATTTTTACAATTTTGGTATAATTACTGATCTAAGTGGATTGCTCTGTAGGGGAAAGGGACATTTTACATTTATATTATATTTTATAGTCTCCATTCTCCAGTTAATGATGAATCACTCACTAAATTAGTTGATGATTATTGAAATAATCAATTAATGCGATTAATTTTTTCAGCCCTAGATAAAATACATGAATGGGCTATACAGAGTAACTACAGCCCAGATGTTCAACTTTTATAGTGAAGTTAATATTTTAATGAATGTATTATTTTTGCTTGATACAGAGAGAGAATAGTAGGTACAAATATAAGAGTGGGGTTTAACTCTGCACAATTGTATATCTTCAAAAGAAAATACTGTATTTACCTTCTCTAATAGTCATGCAAATGAAACCATTTACAAAGTGGAAAACAGTCCTAATTCCACATTCATCAGAGCCACCGATACTTCAAACAAGCATCTAATGAGTGTAGAGCTTATAACATTTTTATTAATGTAGCAAAATTATGCTTTTCTCTTTTAACAATGAATTTGTCTTATCAGTACGGATGCTCACATCGAGCATAAAAAAGGGCACGCATATTGCAGCACCAATGACACCCGACCAATAGTGTCCCTACCAAAGTTCAAATCAAACCTACGCCCTTGATATATATATATATATATATATACATTTTTTTTTGTTTTTTTTGTGGGAGAATTTATATAGCCTACTGTGTTCCTATCCACACTCCATTCCAGTAGATGGCGGTATTGCGCATCAATAAATTGCTTACCGACCGTCGTAAAATAAAATAAAAAAAGAAGAAGAAGAAAAAAGAACAAGAACAAGAAGGATGTGACGTTTCGTCCCTTTCGATTCAAAGGTTCTAGCGCCAATAAGAATCCCACCTTGTTTATGTTTTTTATAAGTAAGCATTATGGAGTTTGACGAAAGCTTTATAGTGGAGCGATTCGACGACTTAAGCATAAGTGGAGCAGCCGAACAGGGACAGCTGATGACTTTCCACTGTCTGCAATGTAACACTATTTTGGCGGACTCTTTAACCGTGTGTGGAGAAATCAAAAGCATCGACTCCATCATGTGCATACGTAGGTTCTGTTTACGTCCTATCTAATGCAAATATACCAGTAGTATGTCCATGTCACCTCCCGTGAGTGACAGAGAGAGTCCCCCTTTTTTATGCATTAAATATAAAGGTTGCATTTATGTTGATAACGTTTGCATTTTTAAAGCTGTGTCTCGATGGACTTAAAATATCGCGTGATCTTAAAGAGAAGTTATCTCAGTGTGGATTAAACTGAACTCTTTTCCTTTATCGCTCTATGTTTTGGGGTTTTTTTCCCCCTTGCAGGAGTAACCAATGATGTCGTTGTGAGCGAAGCACTTGAGTCAGTAAACAAAGGGGTGATGACTAACTGGTGAGTATGCAATGGCAGTTATAGAAGAAATCTACCAGGGGGCCAAGGAGGACAGCAGGGCCACTGCCACTTGCTGTCTCTCAAGGAGGGGTTGTATTTTTGTCATCAGGGAAAAGAACAACAAACAAATGCAGAAATAAAATAGGGCAAGAGCTCATTCTTTAGTGTGCGTGAGTCACAAAACCAAAAATCTCAGGCTCCCCATCTAACAAATAAAAACTGTGATCCTGTTTTAATAGTATTAGGCCAGGATCCTATAAGCAGAATGTATGCTGGTGAAGATTCTCAGTCATCCAGGTCGTAGTTGTTCCAAAAAGGTTGACAAAACAAACCTCTGGACTCCAAGTTTGAAGACTTTTTGCTTCCCATCAAGAAAGCTTTGTCAATTCAAAATGTCTGGAGTATCATTGAGTTCCAGGCTTATAGGGTAGCCCAAACAAAAGCCCTTTTAAGGCTTAGAAAACATGCAAATTAGTGATGCTGAGATGAAGCCTCATGAGGCATTGAACCTTTTTGGCTAATTGCTCCCCACAGTTCACGAATCTTCATGTGAACATGTCACCACCAAGTTGTGGAGTACAAAACTAAACTTAGTACTGTGATTTTTTTACGATTGTTTTTCTTCTTCTTTTTTTTTCAATTTAAGTTCCTTTAAAATTGTTAATGATCGGTGTGTGTATAAGGCAGTCTTTTGTAAGTTTTTATATGTGTAAAATGTCTTTTAATTATGAGGTAAAAATGTCTGACGAGGTACTTGGATCATCCATTGTGAATGAGGCATCTATACCTGTGGAGAGTTTCACAGTTCATTTTGTCAACGTTTTTATTTTCAGCATTTATTCCCATCTAAAGTGCCGTTCATGCAACTATGTCGTGGGTAGAGTTATCCATGCTGCTCCCTTACATCTCACTGCTATTCGCTCCATCTTCCTCCTGAACAAAGCAATGATGAGCAGGTGAGCTGCCGCCGTTTGTGGGACACACAGAGCATTTCATCATGTATTTTCTTGGGGTTTTTTTCTATATAGGACTTTTTAGAGGGTCAGAGAGTGCCGGGCCAGGAACTTAACCAAAAGACTGTGTGATTGATTTGTATGTTTGGTTTCTTTTTTCTACTTAAAATATTAATCTCAGTATTTAAAATTTCCCCCTTGGAGGAAGGGAAATGGCTATTTTTAGGGGAAAAAACCCACCAACAAGGAATCAGGAATCCTCCACCAACCCTACATTGAGAGATTCTGGAGCACCATTGTCATAGTCTGTCGTCAAGTGAGGTTTTGGATAAAGCGGGCTGATCCTAAGTTCTGGGGGGGGGGAACTGAATTAGTTTAGAACATGCATGCCCAAAGTTGGTCCCCGAGGGTCACTGCCCTGCAGGTTTTAGAGGTTTCTCTGCTCTGTAATCATCAGAATCCTCTGTGCTAGAGCTGAGTTTGGGCATGCCCCCCCCCTTAATCCACACTTAATTTGAACTTGTGGTAAATGATCATATAATCCTAAAAAACTGTTGGAGAAATCATTAAAAAGCTTCAAATGAATCCCCAGGGTTATTACGGTATTTAATTTCAGCTTTGCTTCTTTCAATGCCACCAAACTACTAAATAAATATGTATTTTTTTCTTATCCTGTCTGCTTACCTCCATACATCTTTTTTGTTTTTTTTACCTGTAGCTACATTCTCGACAGCAGCTCAATGGTGAAAACATCTTCACTCTCATTTGATCTGAAGCCCCTTCAAGAAACTGTTATTGAGGTAAATCCAAACAATTTTAGACCCACTACTTTCAGGTTTATGGTCACAATTAAGGCCCCTTTACAATTGGATATCTTTTGGCAATGTGCCATTAGAATATAGTTAGTCCCTGCTCTTATAAACCAATGCAAAAAAAAAGGCAGTGAAAATATAGCCTGCAGATGGCGCCAATGTTGTGTATTTATAAAGCTATAGGTATTAAATGGTGTATAAAAGTATTATGTAGTGATTTTAATTCTACGGCTGATTCCTTTCTCTACAGGTGAGGGAAGAGTTTGAAGAGGAGCTCAATCAATTGGCAGACAGCTGCAGCCGACTGACTGACTCAAGCATGAGCAGTCAAAGCACTGTGCACAGCTAATAAGCTGCTTGGAGTCTGTGCTGCAAATGTGTAAACTGGGACCATCATTGATGCCTTCCAGTCTAGATACTTTTTTTTTTTTGATTCCCTATTTCTTTAATAATCAATATTAAGGCCATCTTTAATATCTGTCTTGGCAAAAGCTTCCTACTTACATATGCAGCAGATGACCTGCAGTTGCTTTCTAGGAGGGATTGAGTCTAGGCCCTAGAGCCAATTTAATTGGCTCTGAACCCTTTTATTACGGTAGTTGAATTCTTACCCAAACCACAGGAAACTACAGCTTCTTATCTTTAACCGCTCCTTGAACCCATTATTTAACAACAACCAAACTGCAAAAGTACATCAGATATTTGTAATGTGGTCCAGTGTAAAATATCCTGTTGGCTCGATGAGCACTGTTGACTGAAAAGAACAGGTTTACCATCTTAATAGACTGTTTGATGCACAGGTTGAAATCAAATATTTCTTCCAGTTATATTGTTAATTCTTCACATTTCATCGGACTATTCTTAGATCTTCATATACACTTGTTCATAATTTTGAATGTTTTCAAAGGACTCTAGTTTTGCTACTCATACTCATTCAATGGATTTGGATTTCTTCTCCATTTAGGAATAAATGTAAAAAATAAAAATCAACGAATGGTTCATTTCTGAAGTATTTAATTACTAAATAAGGGACTTTTCTAGAGAAAATGTATATCCATTCCTTGTAAATATACCTAAAGTCTATTTTACTTGGGTCTTCAGTATTCAAAATACAGACCATTATCAATGTTGAGAAAATCACTGACTGCTCACTGTTGAGCAGGGTGGGTGATCTGTTATGCTGTGGGTATGTTTCTCTTAAGGCTTCCTGAGGTGTTTTTTTTTTTTTTTTTTTTTTTTTTTTTTTTAGCCTTTGCTTTTTTTTTTGTCTCAAAAAAGCATTAAAGGCTCTCTCATTTCCCCCTTTTCTTTTAAGGCTCTCAAAGTCACCTATTAATTAATATATTATGAAATAACTCCTACTGTATTACCTGGGTTTTAAATAGTTTATCTTTTATTTTGATGAAAAATATTTGCATGCAATAGAAAGCCACGTCTCCATATCATGGTGTCGCCTATTTCTGGACATCGTAGAATGCCACCACCGCTAACTGGCCGTAAAACAGATTTTCACAACTTGTAGAATAGTTAAAAAAAAAAAAAAAGCTTGCTGCCCTGTGCAAATTAACTGTTAAAAGAACCACTCTGTATCAACCATTAGCCATAATGATCACTCTCAATCCCACATTAACCTTTAATGAGCTGAGAAAGTGGGTGTTTGTTCACAGCACAGGCACAGCGTGGTTACGATTGATGCTTCCTGCTGGGTAAAATACCACATTGAAAATAAGTTGTATAAAGGATAGCATGCTAGCGCAAAGCTAAAAAAATAGTTGATTTTAAATGTTATACGTAGTTTAAATATGAACACTAGTTATTCAGTTGGGGCTTTTATATGTAAGTATATGAACTTTTTACTTATATTAGACTTTGAGTGTCTGCTGTATAAAAACACCTACAAAGGAGCTCACTGTTTAGCACATTTTCATACCCAAGTCATATTCAAACACAGAAGACCAAACCTTGACAACATTTGATTGGCACCATGCTGCTGTTTATTGCTGATTTTTTTATTTTCTGATACAGCTTCTTTTTAATTTATTACAAAACCAGACAAGAGGTTCATAGATAATAGGCATGCCCGTCTCCTCCCTCTGGAATGCATAGTTTCTATACAGCCCACCATCTCAGTGGGACAGTTGATCAACAAAGTAGTTTCAGTAATCTTACCAAAGCATTTAAGTTCTTCCTCATGGGAACAAGAATAGAGATGCACTGTGACACAACAGGGGGAAAAAAAGCAAACTGATCAACCCCTTCTTTTAGTGCTTTTTATGTTTCATAAACAGCAGCTAAACTAGAAAAACTGACCATCAGAGCTGATTTAAGCAGCAAACGATCATACCCATGTTTACATTGGAAAATCCTATATCCCTCAACTACACCCATTCACATTACGAGGTTAGGTTATTGCATGCAATACAAATCATTCATTATTCTGCTAAGTCATGCATATTTTTTTAACCCACAAATTCATATCACCTGGACGTCTACTTGCTCAAAAATCACCAGAAAGAACATTACAGGGTTGCCTGAACACCTCATTCAAGACATGATGGTGACGACGACGGTGCAAGTTGTTGTTGAAAGTGCTTTTCACGCAAGTGTCAGTCATATATATTTAAGTCTGCAACCTTTTAAGAAAGGAGAGGGTCTTTATGGATGCTACAAGAAATAAAATGTAAAGCCTTTCTCTTGTTCTGGTTGATTAAAAGGGTGTATTAAAACGACACAAAGCAAGAAAAAAAAAAGCTAAGAAGAATAGGTGGCTAACGCATAGCTGGAAATAAAAGCTTTCAAAGTTACACAATCTTTTAAACACCAACTCCTGGAGCTAAATTCATGCATTACTTTAGGGTTATTGCTTCTAAAATACTGATTAAATACAATTGTGTGGATTAAAATAGAATGCTCTGATCTCAATACTATGAGGTCATCTGTACATATCATGCACATAAACAAAAACCTCCCAGGTCGTAATCTATGTTGAATCCTTTCTGCAAATATTATCCTACCTGAGATTTGGTTCTAATGAAGATTTTTTTTTTTTAAGCTCTTTTAACTTATTAAGTTGAAACTTTCCAGAACACAATGTAGATAGACACACATAAAGGTACACCGAGAGATCCGCTTTTGGCAAATCTAATCTCTTTCCAGTCAGTGAACCCACCATATGTTATCATGACTAGGTCCAGCTCACTTCAAACGCTCTTCAGTGTGGACATTGTTTCAGAGTTAAGAGGACTCACAGTTATGTGTTTTAGAGTGACTGAGGAAGCGAGGGGAGAAGAAACCTGAAGGGAGATTCTTATGAAAGGTTCATTTGACCTGCAAAGCAGCGAGAGAAAGAAAGACAGCAGGAAGGCTCAATAAATGGCAGATTAGCTTCTATCATAAACTGAATAATCTACACTACTGCAGTTTTTTGATATAATCGCCCTCCACAATCCTTATCATGATGATGCAAATACCAGCATCATCATCACTTCAGGAAAATTAGTCTATCATTATCTATTATACACAACAAATTGTTTGGCTCTTACTAAGATATAAACAAACTTCTATTTTGATAATTTATCTTGTTACAAGAATAATTTCTAATCTTAATTGTTCAACCTGCTTTTCTCTAGATTTAAAAATCTTTAATCAAGAAATGTCAAGAATTTTTTTGCTCCATTGAAGATAATTTCACTTGATTTGAGTGGCTTTTCCTGTAATCTAGTTTTTTGCAGGGTACATTACTTTTATTCTCTTTCTGCTTGTTTTGCAAATTTACTTTGTTTTTGATTGCAGGTTTCATAGCTATCAGCATCAACATGAATTCCCCTATTGTTGGATCAATAAAATCTGTCTTATGTTAACTGTGGTTATTACTAAGACCAGCTTAAAATTCCTCTTCTTTAAGTTAACAAACCCTTTTTTTACAGTGACTTTACCCTTTCACAGAACAATGTGAACTTGCATCAACTCCTAACTAGAGATGTGTTTAAAAAAACAAAAAAAATATTTTTAAACAGCGTCCTTTAGGAATAGACTGCCAACAAACATTAGCCTATTTTATGTATCAGTATCGGCCTATACGCGCACACGTCGGCCAATTCACAAGTGCATTCAGCAGCATTGATTTAAGGTCATGAAAGGATGCATGAATTTCTGCTCTGTCATTTTATTTCAATTGTTAATGTTTTCTTTAAAATGGTTGATAAATGTAATACATGGAGGAAGAAGACCTCAGCAATATCTAAAAACTAATAAGAATAAAAAAAATATTGGCAGCACCTTTTGGATCGGTTAGATTGATTTCAAAGTAATCAGCTTGAAAAAAAAAGCAAATGTGGGTCGATTTCCTGTTTCCATTTGCTGTTGACTGTTAATATAATATTAGTATCAAAAGCAATTGTTTTACTACCAGCAATGGTAGTAAAACAAATAGTATGAATATATGAAATATGAAATAGTTTTTCCCATTTCCTACTATGGAAATGGGCAAAACTATGTTCCAATTTCATGTCCAATTACGACAAGAACATTAGAATAACATTTTGAATGCTGTTCTTATATATATATATATATATATATATATATATATATATATATATATATATATATATATTTATGTATTTTATACATAAAAAACAAATAGAAGCCACATTGGGCCAAATTCAATCAGAAGGTCAAAATGCCACAAAAGCCTCTGAATCGGTGCACCTCTACTTGTGATCATCATTTATCAGACCTGAAAACTCAACGGTATAATTTTCCTATCCCCAGTTTTTATTTTTCCTAAACATATAAATGCTTTAAAGCAGGGATCAAGCACTACCTGTTAGGTTAAAGCAATATGTAGATTAGACAAACCTAAAGGTGTAGTTTAGGAGTCTAATATTCCCCAGTTTTAACTGGGATGGTCTCCACAGATTTGAGCTTCAGCTCCGCCTACAAGTCAATACTCTCGATGAAGCAAGCATTACTACTGGTCATGCATGGCTACTATAATGTTGGCACCACAGTCCTGCTAAATAAGCTAACACACATGAGTCTATACATATCTTAATGGAAGACATTGGTGATTTTGTTGCTTTCAAACAACTTGTCACTTGTTTATACAATATACAGTTTGGTCAACAACATGACAGTTAAGATCAAATATTGCACAGATCCCGGTAAAGTGTAACTTTTTTTCTATACATGTCTATGACAAAAAGAAAAAAGGAAATCAAATGGGTAACTATTTCTAAACCGCAGCTCCTCCTGTCTTGGTGAAGGTCAGATAAAATCAAAACCTTCTGTGAGATGAGCTAAAGCTGGACCACGGTTTGGGAGCAGGATAAAAACGGGTCCCGCTTTGCTCACAGGGAGTGACCCAAATGAGCACTGCTGCCTAATTTGTCTTCGCTTGCAGACCTAAAAAACCAACGCACAGGAAGTCCCAAATGGAAAAAAAGACAAGAAAAGGTAGGAGCTGGAATTTAGAAAATACTGTCTAAATTAAATGTCATTAAAAAAAAAACCATAAAAGGGTTTAAAATTCAAAGAATCTTCCTTGGATGTAGACTTTCTTTAGCTGTGTGGAGTAATGGGGCCATGCCCCTCCCCAACGTGTTGCCAAATTTAATCTGGTAGAAATTATGGTAAATTCTGCTGACATATGTGAAACTTAAGTTTTGCTGCTCATTTAACCTAATTTTTTTAGAAGCTGATTCTTTCTAATGATTCTTTCAATTTATTTTCAATAAATACCATAAAATCACAATAGTTTTAATGAAGGTGTTCCTTCTGTGTGAGAATATACCTGCAAATAGGTTTAAAGCATCCATTTTCCTCCATCTAAAAACCAACAAAACAAAAAAAGACAAATGATGAAGATATGCAAAAGCAAACATATTTTCTACCAACCTGTCAACTAAATTACTTCGATAATAAAAGCTCTTATGGGTGAGTAAAATGACTCCTTGTTCAGAAAACACTCCTTTCCACCCTGTTGGACTTGCTGTGGCAATGAGGTAGTTAAATAAAGAATTAATCAATGAATCTCACTTTGAATCACAGGCATCAGATCTTTGCTACAGTATGTTGTGTCTTTACCTTTTACATGATCAAACCTTGAGATATTTGTTTTGTTTTTCTTGGGGAAATAAACAACCTTGTTTAGATGCATAACGGGCCGAGATTGACCCATTCCTTCAAGCCAATCAAACAGCTTCAGGGCTGCTGTTACATGAGGCTATTTATTGTGATTTTCGTCTACAAGGTTGGATGACTTTCATTCTTGGGAAGCTGTCCTTAGCAACGATCAGGCTGCAGAGAGAGGTCAGGACAAGAGGGGCTGCCGCAGAAGAGATGTCCAGTGTCCCACAAAAACAGGAGGAAAGGCGGTGAAGGCCGGTAATCTTATCTGCTGTTCTCCAGGACTCTGCAGAAGTGGAGGAGTCATGTTGTTGGTTTTGAATCTTCTCCTGGGTCACTTCATCTCACCTGTAGCATAATTTCAAAGTGATGTTTTATGACAGTTTGATTCTGTTTCATTGCAATACGAATAGCAATTCTACATAAAAAAAATAGATGTTAATGTTATAAACGCTGTGGGGAGCTTAGCCCTGTTTTGTGCAGTTGTTCACAAAACAAAAATCCAACATATATTTTTAGAAATAATTTAATTTGTTTTGCTTCATAACAATGTTTATAAATGTTAACTGATAGTGGTTGTAATGAAATTGCGTAAATATACCATGTAGTATATATAGAGATAGAAATGACAATATTCAGCATTTCTTTTATCATCTCATGACAAATAAGCACGCTAATCTCTGTTTTAGAGTTAGCATATACTCAAAGTGCACAACGTCAAATTGTATTTTTGTATTTTTCTCATTTTTCATTCAAAGGAAATATGAGACATTTCCTTATGAGACACAAACTCAATATGAGACACAAACCAATAAACCTACTCTACTTTTTTTCAAAGGTTTTCCTTGATATTTTTCCCCTTTTCTCTTCCTTTCATGGAGCTCACTGCTATCCTGCCATAAACTCTCCTGTTACATCACGACTGATGCAGTTGCAAGGAGAAAAGGTTAAAAAAAAAAAGTTAAAAGTTTGACATTTTTGGGAGGAAATGACATATCTAGGGACAGGTGTGCTTTTTTAAGAAAACATAATACTTATGCATCTTTAAAGCAGATTACATTTTTCATTAAAATTAGGAATTTCTGTCCCATTTGTCAATATAGTTAGTACTGATTAAAAATAAATTTCAGCCTTTTAAGGGGCAGAAAAGGGGCAAATGACATACAGCAAAAACTCTCGATATAAAACCATATTTTTGTTTTTAATAGATATTGTAGTTTATCTAAAACATATTTTTGTAAGTTTATCAAGTGAAGCAAAAAAATGACTAAAGTGGTTTTGTTTTTGCCAGGAACTCAAATTATTTGATGGTTGAGAGAATCACCAATAATGCATCTGCATAAGGAAGGAAAAAGGGAAAAACACATTCAGCCCTGTGTGATTAAAAAAGCAAAAATGTGAATCTCTCTTAGATGCCAGTTTTTTTTTTATTTGCTGTGCTCTGTAATAAAATGAGGAAAACAAGAAAAGTGGAGTTTAAGATGCAAAAAAAGGTTTTATCTGATTCAAAACCACATTTTTATATATAATATTTATCATTTTAAATGGTTAATGTTACACAGATATAATGATTTATTCATGTTTTATTCAAATATTTATTCACCGTTTGCAGGAATGTTGTTCATGCACGAACCCCCTCTGGAAAAATGCAATTTCATAAAGTGAACTGATCTCAATTTGCAAAATCTATAAGCAAACACTGATAGTAAAGGACTAACACCTTTATTTGTAATATAATTAACTGAACAGTTGTAATACTTAAAATAAAACTAGATCAAGAAAATTCACAGGGAAATGTTGAGTGAAGCCCTCACCTGAGGAGCGATGCAGAGATATTTCCACTTTGCCTCTGGGATCATGCAGCTGCACACAATGGTAAACAAAAGCCGGGGGATCCTTCCTCTGCGGTTCCATATTAGGAGTCCTCTCCACCTGCAGGACCGCCGGGTTTTATTTTCATAAGAACAGCCGTAAATTGAAAGGACAGCTTAAAAGTTTCGGACCCCCTTCCCTCCGCTCCTAGACACGGTAAAGGGGAGAGAAGAAGGTCCTCTCCTCCTTCCACCCTTCGCTCCTACGCCATCTTTGCTATGCTAGTACGAGCTACAGGATGGCTGCGCTGATTGGACAAAGAGCTTGTCAATCAACTCTAAGCCCCGCCCGGGATACGCACCTTTTTCTGTAGTCCTTTATCATGTTTAATTAATGGTGTGTTACAAAAAATTTTAATCGAGAGATAATTAAATGCAGTTTTGTAGGAAAACGTTTTAATTTATATAATGTCTGTTGATAAAATTTATTGTTTTTTTTAAACAAGTACAAATTTTCAATTTTAAACTCAGGCTTAATGTCTTTACAGGATATATAGTTTGTACAAATTTAAAAGGCCAGTTAAAAATTTAAACCCATTTGTTAGCAGGTGTGTTTAAATATCTACCTGTCCCTCCATGTCTTACACTGAGCAGGAGTTTTCCAAACAGGATTCGTGAAAACCTTTTTATCTGGTGGTGAAATTATTATTCTGAATTCAGTGATATAATGAATGACAAAGGCCAAAATCAATTATAATTTGTTGAAAGTTTAGGAGGTATGTCCAACATATTATTTTTGGGACTTTAGTTCAAATGTTTAAACTATTTTCATGACCTTAGTTTAAGATTTCATTTTAATTTCAGGTATGTCCCTTAAAATTAAATGGTTTACATCCAGCACTGAACATACGGTAAATCCTTATATGCGGAGACTGCTGGATGTTCAATGACCCACTGGATTAAGGACAAACCTCTGTTATTTTACAAAACATGGGATCCATTCTTAGATTACATTGACATAGAGAGTGAACGGACTAAACAGAAGGGACTCTATTGACTTATCTGGTCTAAGATTCCTGGAAGGAACAATACTTCAGTGAGTATTCAACCAATTATTGTAGTGACACTGTAATGCCTGGATATCTGCTTATGTATCCTTTTAATTGATTAATAATCTGAGCTTTAATGTTTTCGTGTTCTTTTTGTTTTGTTTTCTTAGTATCCGTACTCTATATTATTCTTTTAGGAACATATTGTTACAGGTTTCCCTGATTTAGTTTTATTTACTGACTTATTTATTTCTATTTATTTTTACTTTTCATGTCTTTCACTGTGTGGGGTTTTTGTTGCCTGTATAAGTTGAAAAATGTAATAAAGATATGCTTAAAAATTAAATGATTATTTGTGATTACCAACTGCAAATACAATAATATGAAAAGGAAACAAATGGCTGATGGTTTAGTAGGAGAACACGTGATGCATATTTATGTAATTACTGTTGAGAAATGAAACTCTTAAAGTTTTTTTTATTAAATATTTTAAGAAATAAAGCATTGAAAGAGTTCTGCTAATTTACAATTTCTCCAAAATTAAAATAAGGTTAAATGCTTTTCATTTTTCACAGAGAAATTAAATATCTGATTGTTATATATAGAGAGAGCTAACAGTTCTACTATATATATGTTTATTTTATACTTGAAAGAATATGTTTTTGTTTTATTTTTATTGTCCCGGTTCACACTTCATACCAGCTGGGGGCGATAACGCGCATCAACAGTTATTTACCAACCGCTATAGAATTGTAGAAGAAGACAAACCATTGCCGAGGTTGCCGCCGCCATCTTTGAGCGGTCGTACTATTCTGGTTCTACCAAAACAGCTGAAAATGCCTCAGCACTGCGCGGCATTATTGTGTTCAAATCGACGAAAGGCTGACGTTAGGGCTCGGGGGATAACATTTCACAAGTAAGAAAAACATATTGTTGTTTGCATTTGGTGAAAATATTATTGTTGTACTTCTATTTGTCCATCAGCGGAATACCAGCCAATGTTCTGTTTGGTTCCGGTGTGTCAACATGCGCTACCAGACCAGCATAAGCAGGACTTAGTAACACACACTAAGAAACTGCAGGTTATTAAGTAAAAAAGGATTTCCAGTTTAGTCTAATGAATGTACAATCAACCAAATAACCTGATTCATATAGTTGTTTTAAAAAAGATTCTCTATCTGTTATCTATTAATATCATATTATTATTTTGTTAAATGTCATTTATTTTCTGACATTAATTCCCATTTTCACATAATAGTTTCATTACTATGATTTTGATGTTTTAAGTTATTTAACAATTTTAACATATTAGGGTTTCTGCGGTTCATTAAAAATCATTAAAAGTCATGAAATTATTATTTTTTTAAATTAAGGCCTTAATTGGCATTAAAATTCATTAAATGTATATATATATATATATATATATATATATATATATATATATATATACACTATATTGCCAAAAGTATTTGCTCACCCATCCAAATTATTGGAATCAGGTGTTCCAATCACTTCCATGGCCACAGGTGTATAAATTCAAGCACCTAGGCATGCAGACTGTTTTTACAAACATTTGTGAAAGAATGGGTCGCTCTCAGGAGCTCAGTGAATTCCAGCGTGGAACTGTGATAGGATGCCACCTGTGCAACAAATCCAGTCGTGAAATTTCCTCGCTCCTAAATATTCCACAGTCAACTGTCAGCTGTATTATAAGAAAATGGAAGTGTTTGGGAACGACAGCAACTCAGCCACGAAGTGGTAGGCCACGTAAACTGACGGAGCGGGGTCAGCGGATGCTGACGCGCATAGTGCGAAGAGGTCGCCAACTTTCTGCAGAGTCAATCACTACAGACCTCCAAACTTCATGTGGCCTTCAGATTAGCTCAAGAACAGTGCGCAGAGAGCTTCATGGAATGGGTTTCCATGGGCGAGCAGCTGCATCCAAGCCATACATCACCAAGTGCAATGCAAAGCGTGGGATGCGGTGGTGTAAAGCACGCCGCCACTGGACTCTAGAGCAGTGGAGACGCGTTCTCTGGAGTGACGAATCGCGCTTCTCCATCTGGCAATCTGATGGACGGGTCTGGGTTTGGCGGTTGCCAGGAGAACGGTACTTGTCTGACTGCATTGTGCCAAGTGTAAAGTTTGGTGGAGGGGGGATTATGGTGTGGGGTTGTTTTTCAGGAGCTGGGCTTGGCCCCTTAGTTCCAGTGAAAGGAACTCTGAATGCTTCAGCATACCAAGACATTTTGGACAATTCCATGCTCCCAACTTTGTGGGAACAGTTTGGAGCTGGCCCCTTCCTCTTCCAACATGAATGTGCACCAGTGCACAAAGCAAGGTCCATAAAGACATGGATGACAGAGTCTGGTGTGGATGAACTTGACTGGCCTGCACAGAGTCCTGACCTCAACCCGATAGAACACCTTTGGGATGAATTAGAGCGGAGACTGAGAGCCAGGCCTTCTCGTCCAACATCAGTGTGCGACCTCACAAATGCGCTTCTGGAAGAATGGTCAAAAATTCCCATAAACACACTCCTAAACCTTGTGGACAGCCTTCCCAGAAGAGTTGAAGCTGTTCTAGCTGCAAAGGGTGGACCGACGTCATATTGAACCCTATGGATTAGGAACGGGATGTCACTTAAAGGAATAGTACACCCAAAACATGATTAGCCTTCATTTTCTACTCACCTCCATGCTGAACAACACTCTGGAGTACTTTTTTGATATCTCAAATGCATCTGGAGATCTGGGAGACTTCTTGCTGTCTGCTGACATTCAAATAATGGAGGTCTATGGCGCCCGAGACAGAAAGGTCCACAAAAGTCCACAAAAACTTGTCAATATTCCTCCATAATGCTCGTCCAATGTAATCCAAGTGTCCTGAGTGGGTAGCATCCAGAATTTACTCGAAACGAAGTCATTTAGAACGTTTTAGAGCCTAAACAGTAGTGTATAGGATTTCCTAATAGCGCCCCCATGCGCGCTCACGATTCTACGGAAGCCGGCAGACCAAACCAGCGCATTCAGCTCGGCAAAGAACTCATGCTCTTCCTCAACACTGAAGTCCTCAGACATTTTTCTTTCGTTGTTTCTTTCTTTGCACAGGTAAACAGCACATTTCTTCTTCTACGCTTGCATTATCGGCAGACCAGACGCTGAATGCGCACTTCCTTCCGGTTTGGTCTGCCGGCTTCCGTAGAATCGTGAGCGCGCATGGGGGCGCTATTAGGAAATCCTATACACTACTGTTTATGCTCTAAAAACATTCTAAATTACTTCGTTTCGAGTAAATTCTGGATGCTACCCACTCAGGACACTTGGATTACATTGGACGAGCAGTATGGAGGAATATTGACACGTTTTTGTGGACTTTTATGGACCTTTCTGTCTCGGGCGCCATGGACCTCCATTATTTGAATGTCAGCAGACAGCAAGAAGCCTCCCAGATCTCCAGATGCATTTGAGATATCAAAAAAGTACTCCAGAGTGTTGTTCAGCATGGAGGTGAGTAGAAAATGAAGGCTAATCATGTTTTGGGTGTACTATTCCTTTAAGCTCATATGTGAGTCAAGGCAGGTGAGCAAATACTTTTGGCAATATAGTGTATATATATGAGTCATGGGTACTTGTTGATGGCATTAAAATTATTTCTAAGAGAATTAAAAAGCATTAAATTAGAGTTACTCATTCCTGCATAAACCCTGCATATCCGCTTTTATTCCAAATTTCTGATTGAAATGTCCAATAATCTCTTCTAAATTGTGATTTAATTTCAGGGTTAAGCTTTAGAATAAAGCAGGGATCTGTTGAGATGGAGATATGTTAAATAGGTCTCTACAGTAAGATCTTGAACCAAGAAAGTTGCTTAATCCTAGAGTTTGAAAGTTGCTTAATCCTAGAGTTTTTCTCTCTAAATTTATAATTTAGATTACTTGAATAAAAAAAAAAAGAATTGAATTTTCATTTTTGGATTTTAGTTTTTGGAGGATATCTGTACTTCTGATTATTTAGACTAGAATACAACTTAACTTTATTGTATTTACACTGTCACAAGTATAAAGCAAAAAAAAAAAATGTAGTTTGCATCTATCCATAAGGGCTATAAAGGATATTAATATTTCTCTACATGTGCACAGAGACCATGTATTGACAATACATGGTATATATTAGAGAGTAATTGAAAGAGGCTATAAACTCAATAG